CCGAGGGAGGTTCCAAATCGACGGGGCCATCAGAATTGAGGATGAAGTGGAATAGGTTGCAATAGGAATCGTAACTCTGGAACTTGACTTCGAGGGGAGCAGAGAAATCCAAGGGTTGAGCAGCGGCGACGAGTCTGGACTGGATGTCGTCGGTCTGTTGAGCCATGGTCATCGAGTTAACCTGTTCTAGCTCCTCCATGCCATCTTCGTATTGGACCTGCTCGCGGTAGTCAGCCACGAGGGCTTCCTCCTCGACATCGCTGTCGTCCTCCATCGAGCGCATAGGCGCCGATCCGTTTCGTATTCCGCTCATCGTGAAAAAATCTCAGGTGATCCGAGATAAGTGCGATGTCGCGATGTGGTATCGGTATCGTGGGGGAGGGGGGGGTTGATATTTCGAGACAAATGGTGGAGGCTCTTCGCAGTTTTTTTTTGGAGAGAAAAAAAAGAACCGAAGTTTTAACAGTTAGGGCTTTCTATTCAATGTGGCCCCTGCAGCTTGCCCCTCCTTGCAATTCTGTGTATTGTCTTATCGATACGGATAATTTTTGGCGGGGTAACCTCTCCAGTCTGCTCGAGGAAGTGACTGAGCTTACATAGTACATATGTACATAGAAATGAGGCAGGCGCAATAGAACGAAATGATTCAGAATTAATCATTTCGTAAACATAGACCAGATGCAACTAGGAAAAGTACATTGTGGGTACTGAGTCATCGGAGAAATTTCATTTTGAGACTTATAAGATTCCATTTCATCTCTCCAACTCATCCAATCACCATTAAACTTGGCGACAACTTTTGACTTACAACCAACCCAACCTAAGTCTTTTTGTTCATCCAACGCGTCTAGTCACGGTGATCCAATTCGTATCTTCACTCAGGATATTAACGCCTTCAGGATGCCTGTCGTTAGTCCAGAGAAGCTGGCTACTCTGCAGCAACATGCGGATGATATAAGAAATGTATCTAAACCACTCCTCTGTCCCCTGTCCCCTGTCCTTTGCCCAAGATTCACTTAGGCTAACATATCTCAGATTTGTATCTTGGCCCACGTTGACCATGGCAAGACATCACTAACCGACGCTCTTCTCGCTACAAATGGCATCATCTCCCCAAAGCTTGCCGGCAAGATCCGGTATCTCGACTCACGCCCCGACGAGCAGATCAGGGGTATTACCATGGAATCCTCTGCCATCTCTCTATTCTTCTCTATGCTGCGCAGGCCAACACCGGATGATAAACCGATCCCCAAAGAGTACTTAATTAACCTAATAGACTCGCCTGGCCATATTGATTTTAGCAGCGAGGTGTCCACCGCGTCCAGATTATGCGATGGCGCAGTCGTACTGGTCGATGCCGTCGAGGGTGTTTGCAGCCAGACCGTCACGGTTCTCCGACAGACATGGATCGAAAAGTTAAAACCGCTTCTGGTCATTAACAAAATTGACCGACTAGTCATTGAGTTGAAGATGACGCCGGGCGAAGCTTATATCCATCTAAGCAAACTCCTCGAACAGGTAAATGCTGTCTTAGGAAGTTTCTTTCAGGGTGAGCGTATGGAAGAGGATTTGAACTGGCGAGAGCGAATGGACGAACGAGTTGCTGCCGCCGCCTCTAAAGAGGTAAAGCTCGGAGATATCGAGAGCGAAGCAGGGGATTTACAATTCGAAGAGCGAGACGACGAAGAACTTTATTTCGCACCCGAGAAAAATAACGTAATTTTCAGCAGCGCTGTTGACGGCTGGGCTTTCACCGTCCGACAATTCGCAAGCTTATATGAGAAAAAGCTTGGCATCAAACGAAGCATCATGGAGAAAGTTTTATGGGGAGACTTTTACTTAGATCCGAAGACTAAGAAGGTCCTGAGCCGAAAACATTTAAAGGGACGCAATTTGAAACCAATGTTTGTCCAGCTTGTACTTGAGCAAGTCTGGGCTGTTTATCAAGCTACTACGGGAGGGGATCATGGAAAGGGGTAAGCCTTGGCAGAATATTCCAAAACTTGCTCAGTATGCTAACTACGGTACCAGAGACCCTACATTGCTTGAGAAGATCACAAAGTCGTTGAACATCACAATACAGCCTCATATTGCCAGGTCAAGAGATCCTCGCTTACTACTCACAACAGTGTTTTCGTCATGGCTACCCCTGTCTACTGCCCTCTTGGTTTCTGTTGTCGAATCGTTGCCATCCCCGAAAGTAGCGCAAGCAGAACGGCTACCTGAGATGCTGGAGGAATCCCCTGGATCAAGTCATATCGACCCCTCAGTGAAAGACGCCATGGTGAATTTCAAAACCTCCAAGTCGGATCCCGTGGTGGCGTACGTCAGCAAGGTGGTATCTATTCCCGAAAGCGAACTTCCGGAGAATAAACGACGAGCTGGTCAGCTTAGTGCTGAGGAAGCTAGAGAGTTGGCTAGGAAGAAACGTGCGGAATTTGCTCGTGTTCAGGCAGCGGAGAGCAACGGAATGGAAGACCTTGCCACAGCGCTTGACAGCGTTGCATTAGACGACTCCACGCCCGAAGTCGAAGAGAAACAGGTCGATCCAGAACGTCTGATAGGGTTTGCACGTATGTACTCGGGCACTCTGTCTGTGGGTGACGCACTCTACGTTCTGGCACCGAAGTTCTCTCCCGCAAATCCCCACGCGGCCCCTGAACCAAAGAAGGTCATTGTAACGGCCCTATATATGCTCATGGGCCGTAACCTAGAGTCCCTAGACTCTGTTCCGGCCGGTGTCATTTTTGGCCTCGGTGGCCTTGATGGTCACATTCTAAAATCGGGAACTCTATGCAGCCAGCTCGAGGGCTCCGTCAACCTGGCAGGTGTCAACATGGCGGGTAAGCCCATTGTTCGAGTCGCCCTTGAGCCGGTGAATCCCGCCGACCTAGACAAGATGATTGTGGGTCTCAAACTGCTTGTACGAAGCGATCCTTGCGCCGAGTACGAGCAGTTTGAAAGCGGCGAACATGTCCTCCTTACCGCCGGCGAACTACACCTAGAACGATGCCTGACTGATTTAAAGGAGAGATTTGCAAGATGTGATATCCAGGCTGGTGCACCCATCGTGCCATACAAAGAGACGATCGTTCGTGCGGATGAGATGCGACCACCAGCGAACAAGGAGCTGGGAAGAGGTGCTGTTGTAGGTGTTACAACCTCGAAGCAGGTGAACCTCACGATTCGAGTACGACCGTTACCCGCCAATGTCACTGAATTCCTCCTCAAGAACCCGGGAGCTATCAAACGCATGTACTCGGAACGAAATACAGTCGCAGATGATGAGCAAGAGAACGAAGTCGACGGGGAACAGCAGCATATCGAAGCAGACGAGGATTTGCTGGACGGCAAAAGTCTATCCCCCGATGAGCTAAAGAAGCAACTGCAGGCCACCTTAGAAAGCGGCAAAGGGCGTGAGGGATGGAAGGGCGTCATTGACAAGATAGCGGCCTTCGGACCGCGCCGCATAGGACCGAACTTGCTTATTGATGCTACCAAAGACGGGCATTTCCCCAAGGTTTTCACCCCGGAGAAACAGAACGGGGATGACAGTAGCCCCAAGGCTGATGAAGCACTCCAAGCAGCGCATTTATGCGACAAGGTCACATATGCGTTCCAACTAGCGATGAACCAAGGGCCGCTATGTAACGAGCCAGTACAAGGCGTCGCTATTATAGTCGAGGATCTCACGGTCGCAGCTACGGACGACGATGAAATACCCGCTCGCGACCACCTCGGGAGACTCACGGGTGAAGTTATCAAGACGGTGCAACAGTGCATCCGCCAAGGCTTCCTGGACTGGTCGCCGCGACTCATGCTTGCTATGTACTCGTGTGAGATCCAAGCAAGCAGTAAGTCCCCTCTCCCTTACCCTTCCCCTTCCACCCTCCTTCAGATGAGATGCTAACAAGAGAAACAGCCGAGGTCCTCGGGCGCGTGTACGATGTCCTAACACGGCGACGAGGCCACGTCCTCTCGGAGCAGATGAAGGAAGGCACACCGTTCTTCACGATCCAGTCCGTGATCCCTGTGGCCGAATCCTTCGGCTTCGCGGACGAGATGCGCAAGCGCACGTCGGGCGCCGCACAGCCGCAGCTCATCTTCGCCGGCTTCGAGATCCTAGACGAGGACCCGTTCTGGCAGCCATTCACCGAGGACGACCTCGAGGACCTGGGAGAGCTGGCCGATAAGGAGAACGTGGCGAAGAGATACATGGACGGTGTGAGAAAGAGGAAGGGGTTGCTGGTCGAGGGGCGCGGGGTTAGGGTTGCTGCTGAGAAGCAGAAGACGCTCAAGAGGTAGTGCGGTTAACCGGGAACTTGACCGGTGGTTTGGATGAAAGGCAGGTTTGCACATGCTCGTCACCTAGGTACACTCACCTAAGATGTTCTCACAGCATCCAGCTTTCCCCAAGACGAGGAGGTCACAGCCGCAATTTAAGTCACCATAAGTATTCGAAAGGGGGAGTGTTTAGAATACGAGGTTGCTGTAGGCTAGCTTCTCGGGGGCAACAAGGGTATTGATCAAGATGAATCGCAACGCGGTAATACTTGAGGAGTCCCTAGTATATAGCAGAGGTAGAGCTTAGCCTATACCTACATACCTCCTAGGGTACATATGAGACAGCATATAATGCAATGCCACGCCTTGCCATGCGGCAACATACGAGAACTATGATCTAAACATCTGGTGAAAATTGAGTGGAAGTTTGCTCGACTTGTCTAGACTGAATTAAATGAAAACAAATAATCAAATAATGCTATGTTTTAGAGAATACAGTGGATGATATTTAGAAAATTCAGCCGTCATACTGTGACGTTATGCATGATCGTTTCTGTAGGTGGCTATGTAAGATCCTTAGATGGGCCATCTATTCTAGAGGCACGGCATGGAAATCGATCAAGCACCTACTGAATTGACAACCTGGGGAATGTTTTATGTACGCAATCACGAAGTTGAAGAGTATCTACGCCCAGCTGCTTCTGAAGACACTGCAAGGTCCCCCGGCCTAAAGGTATGGCACCTGGTTATGACTGAATGTGAACAAACATGCCAAGAAGTCACAGGAGGTCCTGAGTTCGAGTCTCGGGGGGATCTACTCTTTCTTTTCTTTTCTTGATCGCTCTTTCACACTCTCTGGCGTAATACTTAAGTGTGTACAGTAGAGGCGAATCAACAGGCTACCTGATTAAAATACGCAAGTCATGAGGGAGTTTATGGATGCGGTGTTATCAAGAGGACGCAGGGAAAACCGCAGACTTGCTGGGTTAACACGAACATTATCTGAAAAGAGCATACAGGCTAGCTTCATCAAGTTAATATACGGCCGGAGATACAAAGCTAAAGACAGCTTTAATAGATGAAAAGGGTCAAAAAGTACCAGACGAAACGTTCGTGGGAGAGGAAAAACAAAGAGTAAAAAAACCGATGACCCAGGTGGGATTCAAACCCACGTCTGTCCAAGCAAACCCATCACCTGTCATAGTGATAGGTGTGGAGTGGAATGTGTTCCCACTACACCACTAGGTCTCTGTTGTAGAGGACATTGTGAATGATAGAGCAGAAAGCTAAAACTAATGAAGTAGGGGATTCCCAGTGTTTGTAAGGTGAAGGTAAGACTTACCTAGCTGCGTTTGAATTCGTGGTATTAGGAAACTGGTCTCCTTCATGATTGCCAACGAGAGTATTAGACCTCACTTACCAGCGCACGGCAAAGACACAACTGCACTCACCTGGCTTCAGTCATCAAAACGCTGCCTAATAGAACGTGCTACCCAATTCACACAAAGTGAGACCCCACCTAGAGATCTAATTCTCATTCATTCAATCAATATATATTTATATCTGCCTAGCTTCCTAGTCTCGTAGGACATTCCATTCCATTGCATTCCATACCGAAAACTCCCAAGATATGTGATATGAGTGTAGTAGGTACCTATATACTGTGCACCTCCTTTCCCCTTTTCCCCGGGTATCCCAATTGAACTGAACTGAACTGAATCGAATTGAATTCCTGTCTCGATCGTCTCCTAGCTCGTTAAGTACCGGGCTAACAAGAGAACTAAATAAACATTGTCCTCCCGAGATTCGCAGTCTAGATGCGGCTAGCTATGACTTTAGTTGTCGACATTTATGTCATCATAGTTGGTGGTAATATAGTGCTTCCGTCCGTTCATTGGACGGGAATGGGTGAGATTGTATGGAGGGCTGTAGCGGGTTTTGCTGCTACCCGTTAAGGTGGTAGGAGCGGACTTAAGGCCGCTTGCTTCGCATCATTCCTTGTAGCTTACGCCTTCGCCTCGTCGTCCCAGCCCCATACTTGAGAGAGGTATCTCTCCATGTTGACTCGTTTCGTCCGCATCTCCACCATCCATGGGTGATCAAGCATCCTCCACGGACTTGCTCGACGATTCGGCTCTTTCTCGAGACTAGTCGAGCTGGTTAGTTCCTAAAATCGTTTTTACCTAAGGTATGAAGACTTACCAGCACTCGATGAAATACTTGAAACTGTCACTCCAGAAAATGTTGGCATCTGGCTCGTCCTTTAGTTTTGGTATCGGTTGTCGAACGATGTAGGTCAACAGGTCGATCAATCCCGCCTTAGGTTGCATCTCGGTTCCGTCAGCAGGGAAAGGGAATCGATGTTGTGCTACTTCGAGAAGAGTGACTCCAGTGGACCAGACATCTGACGTGATGGTGTAACTTTGGCCGGTGATACGCTCAGGGGCCATGTAGTAGCTCGTGCCGATGAATGTGTTGGCCTCGCCCTTGGTTCCGAAGTCACCTGAGACACCGAAGTCGCACAGCTTAACTTCACCGTTACGGCAGAGTAAGATATTCGACGGCTTGATATCCCGATGGATGATCTTCTTGCTGTGAAGATAAGTCAAGCCACGGAGGACGCCTTCGGCAATCTTGCCGAGGACCTTCTCTCCTGTTCGGCCACCGAGTCTCTTGACCTCCTTGTAAATACTATCAAGGGATCCGCCCTCGCAGAATTCCATAGCAATGGAGATGGTGGCCGTGGCAGGATCACCGAAAACTCCATAGTAACGACAGATATGCTCCGATGCACAGTCCTTGTTGAAATTGATTTCACGGAAGATCTGTTTCTTGACATCCGGGTCTGGGTTTGTAGTGATGACCTGGTTTAATAGGTTAGTGCTTATTCGCTCGACCCTAGGATTAGAGAGACCAATAGACGGACGACGTACCTTCAGTGCAAATACCGTCTTTCCTCCTTTCAACTTGCAACGTGTAACAGCACCACCGGCACCCTCACCTAAGCTGCCTAGCTCAACAATTCTGCTCTCCGCACTTGCAATTCTCCACCCATTGTCATCAAGTTCATCTACATCAGCAGTCCTGGCTTTCTCTAGGGTAAGCTTATCGAAGCTATCCGCCAGCCCTTGCGTGCTGTTGTCCCGTTCCATTCCGATACCTCCCTCACTTCTTTCGGAATAGATGGAGCCGACAGCAGATATGGGGTCTGGAGTGCCCTGTGGCCTCGACCCGATGCCATATTGTGATGCGAAAGAGAGGGCGGAGAACTGGGAGCCGGCAGACGTGGGGTTGCTTGCTCTCCCGTCGAGAGGCCCGAAGCTGCCGGATCGCGAGTGCGCTGCGCTGCTTTCGCTTCCACCACTTGCTGATTGTCCTGGTTGAACAGATGGTCGGGGTTGTTCATAAGGTGCGACAGTGCTGCCCATCGGAGTAGCAACATGTACGGTGAGTTGAGGGCGCGACGGGCCGCCTGCGACCGCAGCGCCTACCGGCTTTACATTAGGAGACGGAGGAATGGCTAGGCCTAATCTCGGAGTTCGTGCGCCGCTTGGTCTGCCCCCTGCCAGCGCAGGCCGAAGAGGAGCGGGAGAGGAGGACAGCATGGGAAGTGATGGCGTCGATACTGATGCTGGCGGAGGAGTGCCTACAGCTGCATCCAGAGATGCTGCTGCATTGGAGGCCTTCATGGTGAACGAAAGTTAGCATCGCAAGCACACGAGCGGGGAAGCTTGCCTGACGGAGCTATGAACAAAATGAAACTAGGCATATAAGACTATAAAGAAGGCAATGGATGCTGTAACTAGAAAATCAATTACATTCTGGGCCACAGGCTCAGAGGCCTGAGCGGGATTCTCGTGATCGGGCATTTGTGCTAGTCCGACTCTTTCTAATCCACAGATTGCGCAGCAAGCCTATGGGTGTGTGCGTGTTCAAGGCGTAGTTTGCCGAGGAGGCAGTCGGGCTGCTCCAAGCACAAAGAGGAAATAAAAGGGCCGAAACTAGCTGTATGTAACAGTCCGTCGACAATACCGGTCTAGGTATACTCGACGAGGTAGCACGGCGCCGCAGTTAATATATTGGAGTGACGTATTGATATCGTCTGTTGGTGGTACTGTTTTGTCTTGAAAAAAAAGAAGGGATTCCAGTCTTATTCGTGCTGTTACAAAAATAAAAGAACGAATTTCCCAGGCAATCAAGCCGGGTGGAATTTTTTGTAGAGATGATTATGGTATAATACGTTCCAAGTTGTAGATAGTCGTATGTGGGAGAAAAGATGTGGAGGAGAAAGGCGGCGGTTTGCTTGTGCCGCGCGTAGTAGAAATTCTTCCCCCTGTACGAGGTTCGATGCCCAGCGGCCCAGGTATGGTAGATCCCTTGTCTGTTCCTCTTTTGAGAGCGGAGAAAGACTTGGCTAGGACTCTTGGACCTGGAGTAGACTTGACCCGAGATTCTAACTCGTTGTTCAACCTAGGCAGCCTGGTTTTACTTGCTAGCAGTGGTTTTAAGAGCTGGTTCTTGCAGCTTGCAGTTGTTGCTTTTGCTACTGCACCAGTCGAAAGGCGGGATGTGGGCGGCGGACCAGAAGCAGCGCTGTGCGTGCAGGGATTCTGATACCAACTTTCGATGCCAATACTAATACCAGTAACCAATACCTATTCCCCAGCGCCAAAATCCTGCAAATGGCAGATTGGGCGACAAACGGTGACCGAGCAATCAACGAATGAATTGATGCGAGATGGTTTGATTGGGTTGTTTACTATGTAGTCGAATGTACGGAGGAAATAGTCGTTCTTAGTAGGCCAATAGTCCCTGTCGTCGGTATTGAAATGAGGAGCGGGTGATACTGCAAAGAGCAGCAGGTATTTGTAATAGGTGGATAGGTGGGATAGGTACAACACAAGCTAGTGGGGTAAAGACAATGGCATTTCTAGGTAGCTAAGAGTTAAGCAGACCGGGCCGAGCCTAGACATAAGCCGCGCCAGTATATAGGTAGACAGCTACCAAAAGTATTAGGTGGGCGATAACGTAGTTTCGGATCTGAAGGCGAGACAGCTGTTTCTGGCGGTTAACAATGATGATGACGAAGAGGAAAGAGAGGGTACTAGTGCTGGCTTCTCTATCACTCGCCCATCGCACTTGACAGTGCTGCGCATTAATTAGCGCATCGTGCATTAATTAGAGCATATCCGAGG